AATCCGTGGGGAAGGATTGCAATCCTGTGGGCAGGACTCACTCTGGAAAAGTTTGGAGATTTTTTCCTCGTGAGTAGGGGATCCGCTGAATCAAGGGAAAAATGGTGTAAGGACTCCTCCTCCGTTAAGAAAGGAGCGGCAGTGAACAACATGGATGAACTGACCTGCACTCCCCATTCCCTGTCCCCCTGCGCCGCCGGGGGGGAGGTAGAGCCGGGAACGAAAGGAAACAGGGTGGGGAGGTGTTGTTTTAAGATCTGGCCTTGTTTTTCTTTCTCCTCTCAAGCAACCGTTTTCGCTCCCTTGTGTCTCCTGTTAAGTAACTGTTAATAAATTCTTTTGTTTTAAGAAGAAAGCCGGAGTCATGTTTTGCCCGGGACCATGTTTGGTGGGTGCTCCCTCTCGGTTCTTGTCTCGACCCTCAGTCCAAAAACCACGACACGCAGCTTGTGTTCTTCTGATGCAGAATCACTTGAGTCGTGACTGTTAAAATGAATAGTCACCAATAGTGAACAGTCAACAATGCTTATGAAATGCAAAAGGGATTGACATATTTTTTTTTAAAAAAGTGATCTCTCCTGAGCAGAACCCTCAATTTCTTTGATCTCCATTTCTATTAAATTTTCATTTTATATCTTCTCAGCCTTTTCATCCTGCTCAACATCTCCAGCCGTTGCACTGTTTCAGTAGTTAAGGCCGAAACTCAGAATTCTGGAGATTTCAGGTTCCACTCCTGTCTTTGATGTAATTTATGGGTTTGAGTCATCTGCTGATTTACCAGTGCATCTGTAACATGGAGTTGTTGTGTCTGCCCAGCAATGGGGTATATTTTGAAATTAATTAAATAATTTTCTGTGTGACTATGAGGTATTATGAAGTGCCAAAGACATAAAGTCAAAAAACAAACTCCATAAAGTACATGGAGAAAAGTTTATTCCTGTATCTTCAACGTTATATTTTGCATGTGCCAGCCCTTTTGCAGATTTCTTCTCTCTAAACCAAACAAGGCTGGTGCTTCCAATTTTTGCAATTTTTTAGAATTTTCACAGTTCTGCAACACAACCTTAGTAGAGCTACACAGAACAGTACAACAAACAAAAATTGCTGTTTGTATATCCCAGCATGCTATTTGTCTGTTTTACAGTTGTCTTCACAACAAAATACGGGGGTTATATTGATCACGTGTGACATCTGTGTGTACCTAGGATCCTACAAGCAGTTTGCCTCTATGTTCTTCTTACCTAAACCTACTTACAGACTTGTCAGCACTACCACTCCTGATGTGATGACCGTGGTTGCAACCCTTAGATATCGTTGCGCTTTGGGGTGGAGGCTGACAGGCACTTCACTTAGCAGGCATCCCTGCGGAGATGATGATGATGGAATGTGTCTCAACCCATATAGAATCATAGAATCACAGAATAGTTTGGGTTGGAAGGGACCTCAAAGACCATCCAGTTCCAACCCCCCTGCCATGGGCAGGGACACCCTCCATTACACCAGGTTGCCCAAAACCTCATCCAGCCTGGCCTTGAACACTTCCAGGGATGGGGCAGCCACAACTTCTCTGGGCAACCTGTGCCAGTGCCTCACCACCTTTAGAGTGAAAAGTTTCTTCTTTATATCCAATCTAAATCTGCCCTTTTTCAGTTTAAAGCCATTGCCCCTTGTCCTATCACTACACACACTTGTAAAAATTCCCTCTCCAGCTTTCCTGTAGCCCCTTTAAGTACTGGAAAGCTGCAATAAGGTCACCCTATGCAGGCATCTACCTTTCCTCCTTCCACGCAGGGCCTGTATGTGGCAGGAAGAGTGACACTCATCCTTGGTCTCTACCTGAGCTATGCTGCAGCCGTGCCTGTGCCTTTACACATGCTTAGCTGATCTGGATACTGATCCTGACCTGCAGACTTGAATTCCTGGCTTGATTTTGGACGTGCTTTATCACTATGGACTTGTCTGCCGATCACCGGGCTGCTGGCTGACCCTAGTTACCATCACAGAGCTTATCTGCTATCCCTGCTCATATGCTGTGGGGCTGCGTGCCTAACAGCGCTCTTACTGTTCCTGCCTGCCTTGTGGTGATGCTACCTCCTCACTCACTTTCCCTTATAGAACAGCTCCTCCTGCTGCTCCTTGACACGCATGGCCATTGTAATCTATACTTCATATATCCCTCTGGGTTTGCAGCATGTTGAGTAGCTTTTGAAATCGATGTACTGATAGCAGCTTCTCTATAAACAGCATATGGGGATATGTACTTTGTTAATTGTCTCTGTGAAGATGTGGAGTTCAGGCTCAGCTAACACCCATCTGACCTCTGTGATGTTGTTTTTGGCTGCTGGGTAAACAGTCTGGAAGATAACTTGGGAGATCTCCATCTTCATCTTCACTAAAGACTCCAAAATGACTGTCTTGAAATCAACGTCAATATGGTAAGGCTGCACAACGCAATGGAGGACGTTCTTCATAGGTGTTGGCACTCAAAATGTGATACAGTGACAGGCACTAGGTCACAGGAGCTCACTTTGCCCCTTCCTGGAGAAAACGATTGGTCCAGTACCTTCTAGATAATTCCTGAGCATGAAAATACATGAGAATTAATTGAGAATACAGCAGCAGTAGGATCAAAACCAGTGGTCAGAATGGCAGCAATATCAGTCAGGTTGTCAGTTAGTTGCCAGACAGGGTAGACTTGGCCTGACTTTTGAGATGTGCAACAAGTATCTCCATGTGAGTCGCTCCAGGTCTCTTAGCAATGGGAACAAAGATCATTCCCTGGAATGGGTTGCCAGAACAATACAAAGTTGCATGAAACAACTGCAAATCTGCAGTTTAATTGTTACACATGGGATGAATATTAACATACTAATAGTCTACCAAAACTAAATTAAGAGTAATTTTTGTAAGCAATTTGCTGACCTGATCTGTGTCCAATTGTATAATTGTAAAACCAGCTTGTGCCATTAGGACAGTACTGCGTTACGTCAGTAGCTACTAACAGATGTTAGTACATTGCTGCATAATTTCATTGTTACAGAATTGTAAGATCACCCCGGAGCCTTCTCTTCTCCAGGCTGAACAGCCCCAACTCTCCCAGCCTGTCTCCAGAGCAGAGGTGCTCCAGCCCTCGGATCATCTTCATGGCCTCCTCTGGCCCCGCTCCAACAGCTCCATGTCCTTCTTGTGTTGGGGACCCCAGAGCTGAACGCAGCACTGCAGGGGGGTCTCAGGAGAGCAGAGCAGAGGGGCAGAATCCCCTCCCTCGCCCTGCTGCCTACGCTGCTCTTCGTGCAGCCCAGGACACGGTTGGCTTTCTGGGCTGCCAGCGCATGGTGCCGGCTCATGTTGAGCTTCTCATCAACCAACATGCTCAAGACCTTCTTCTCAGGGCTGTCCATGTGCAGGACCTTGCGCTTGGCCTTATCGAACTTCATGGCTCACACAGGCCCACCTCTCCAGCCTGTCAAGGTCCCTCTGGATGGCATCCCTTCCCTCAGGCATGTTGACCACACCACACAGCTTGGTGTTGTCAGCAAAACCAACTGAGGGTGCACTCAACCCTACTGTCCATGTTTGTCACCAATGAAGATGTTAAACAGCACCAGTGCCAATAACAGTCCCTGAGGAACACCACTCGTCACTGTTCTCCACTTGGACATCGAGCCGTTGACCACAACTCTTTGAGTGTGACCATCCAACCAATTCCTTATCCACTGAGTTGTCCATCCATCAAATCCATGTCTCTCCAATTTAGAGACAAGGATGTCATGTGGGACAGTGTCAAATGGTTTGGACAAGTCCGGATAGACGATGGTCAGCAAGAGCAAAAGGAAGGAGCTGCCAATCAGTGTAAACCACACCTTTCTCTTCAGTTGGCTTTGGTGGGATTGATTCTTAAAGGTTTAGTTAAGCTACTGGTTACAGAACTTTAATGCTTAGGGGCTAGGGCTTCTCACTGGTCAATACATAAAAAATCCACCATAGATTCAGGAAAAGAAAAAAAAAAAAGACTGTAAAAAAAGTGTACTAAAGCATCCAGTTCCCTGATGGTTGGGATGCTCTCCGCAGACAACACTAGCTATTCCATTATAAGTCCACAAGTGGAGTTAAACCAAGGTCTGAATCCTTTGTTTCGCTAGGAAAAATCAAGCGTATGGCAGCCAAGCTGTGAATGTCTTTTCTGGAAACCCAGGAGCCACAGTGGGAACGCTTGCCAAACAGTTGCAGGAATGAGGGAAGAGGAAGAATGTTAACTGCATCATGGCCAGGGGTGGAAATCAGATCAGGCTCCTTTAGGCATTTGTGTACAGAATTTAGTTCATTGTGTATTTTCTGAAAATGTCATGTATTTCTCGCGCTTTCTGATATTGAGATTATCTTTCCCCGCACATAAGGGTATGGGGCCCAATCCTAGCATGAGAGAGGACACACACATTTGGAACTCTTCTCCATCTTTGCATACATAAACTCAAGACTGGACTACAAAACATTTTTTAAAAATGCATCTGAGCCCTTTAAATGCAAATCCTTTCTTTGAATGGAAAAGATTGTAATTGAATCTTTCCCCAATTTGCATGCTTAGAGAAAGCAGCTGAGCTATTAATCATCAAAAAATGTAAAATATCCTAAATATTAAATGACTTATTTTGATACTTCTTTCCTCTGAGGTAAGCAGGTGAGCATGTGCTGCTAAGAGCTAGTTGGGATTGGCACTGCCCTGCAAATCTAAGGCTTTCAGGAGCCCATGGAAAGCTGAGTAGACATTGTGAGTTCTTGAGTTGCTATGTTCACGTTATTTTCTCTCTTTTTTGTAACAATTGCTATAATCGAATCCATGGCAGGACTTCTAGGAAATGGAACTATCCTGGCTGTCAGTTCAACGAGCTGCATCAGGAGGAAAATATTTTCTTCGTATGATATGATTATGATCTTTCTGAGTTTATCCAGATTCTTTTTGCAGTCCTGGATGATGCTGGATTTGTTTGTAAATCTACTTTGTGAAACTTCCTACTATGAAGAAAATTTGTTTGCAATTTTCAAGGCAGTTTTTATGTTTTTGAACAACTCCAGCCTCTGGTTTGCTGCCTGGCTTAGTGTCTTCTATTGTACCAAGGTTGCTAGTTTTTCTCAGTCTTTCTTCATCTGGCTGAAGCAAAGAATTTCCAGTCTCGTGCCCTGGATGCTGCTAACGTCATCCTTTTTCTCCTTTGCAACCTCTCTTCCTTTCGCCTGGGATGTCTACAACGTGCACAAGAACTTCACTGCTCCTTCAAGCGTGACAAACTCTTCAGAAAAAAGAGTCACAATGAAAGCTAGCTGGTTTTTATTTATTCTTCTCTGTAATGCTGGTGTGACTTTGCCTTTAATAGTGTTTGTTGTTTCAAGTATCTTGCTGATTAGGTCTCTGTGGATACACACCAGGCAGATGCAAAACAATGCAACTGGCTTTAAGGATCCCAGCCTAGTGGCCCATACAGATGCCATCAAGTCACTCTTCTCCTTCTTTATCCTCTATGTTACCTATTTTATTTGTTTGATTCTCAATTTATGCGACATTTTTTCACCTTTAAGCGTTGAGGAAGCCATATGTGTGACTGTAATGGCTGCTTGTCCTGCAGGACACTCTATCATCTTAATCTGGAGCAACCCCAAATTTCGGGAGCTGCCAGCTAGGATTTTGCACCAACTGTCATGTCAGAACTAGATCCATGTAATAGATGCTCAGCTAGCCTGGGCTTTGTAGTTTAGATCCGAATTAATTAAATTGAAGTCACCAGAGGTATAAAATAATAGAATGGGTAGATTAGATGATAATAATAGAATGAATGAGTAGATTATGGCCCTGATCTGGAATCATGATCATGGAATCCTAGTGATAGGACAAGGGGCAATGGCTTTAAACTGAAAGAGAGGAGATTTAGATCAGATCTAAGGAAGAAATTTTTCACTCTGAGGCTGGTGAGGCACTGGCACAGGTTGCCCAGAGAAGTTGTGTCTGCCCCATCCCTGGAAGTGTTCCAGGCCAGGTTGGATGAGGCTTTGGGCAACCTGGTGTAGTGGAGGGTGTCCCTGCCCATGGCAGGGGGGTTGGAACTGGATGATCTTTGAGGTCCCTTCCGACCCAAACCATTCTGTGATTCTATGATTATGGCCCTGATCTGGAATCATGAAGAAGCTGGGAATTTGCTTTACTTGAATGTGATTCTTGTAATGAAGAATTCTGTAAGTTCTCTCCTATTTCAAAATATGATTGCCTGCAGATTATAAGTACTGTACTTGCTGTACTTTCTTTGGAAATCACCACTGTTTCCCTAAGACTGCAGAAAAGCAAGGCCAAGACCCAGACAATAATGTAACCACTTGAAATTATTTAAGTTACAAATCAGACTCTCATGATACTGACAGAACAGACCTGCTTAAGCATAGGCATGCTCAAATTTTGTATGTGAATATGAAGCTTGACAGCTGTTTCGGGTTAGTACAAGCACAGTGAGGATGCTAAGGAATTCCCAAGAATTTGAGAATTTCTTACTGATTATTTTTGACTGCTTGTTGATTCTGTAAGTAAAAGAATATTTGTTGACTCTAAAAGCATCTGTAAGATTTCAATATGATTCAATAAAGAATGACAAAGCCTTTTGAGCTTCCTGCTGTTGCTGAACTAGTAATCAATGTCTGTATTCCTAACAAAAAGATGCAATGGAAGACTCTCCAAAATCCTATGATTAGAGCTAATAGGAAAAAGAATTTTCTTAATATCGGATTTTTCTGAAGAATAAATTGAAAGATTAGAATTTCAAGTTTTGTTATGGACAATAGATTCCTCAAATCAGGTATTGTCAAATGTAATTAAATTACTAAAATATTAAAATTAATTAAGTAGTATTATTGAGAAAATTGTTCACCAATATTTAAATATATGGCTTGAAATTCTCTTCAAAAGTTTCTAGAAATTGCACATCTCTGTGAAGTGTCTCAATTTTGACAAGTTGTGTCCTGTGATTTTTTTTCTACACAGGAATTCCTTCAACTTTAGAAATAATTTACAATGTCCTGGACAAATCACACATTTTGGCAGAGCCCAAAGCTCAGCACATTACTCTTACATCAGGACTGGAACTTTATGACCCTTTTCAGTTGCAGTAGGAGTTCACTTTCTTTTAAAATGATCACCACTGAAATATAAATGGCTTGAGCCTTGTGTCGAGTAAGAACATTCTGATTTAAAATATCTGATTTTGATGGTGTCACAGTCAATCTATTTGAAGCAATGTGTCTGTATTTAAACTAAGTTTGTGCCAACATTGCGTTTTTAACAAGATTTAAAAATCTTTAAAATCCCAACTATTTGCTCTTAGAGGTACTGGCAGCTGTATTTAAAATCCAGTATGGTAAATTAAATCAGGGCACAGCAAAATTCAAAGCTCATCCTGTTCTAACACTAGCAGAATGAGATGATACCAATCATGTTGTCTTGTAGCTCTTCTCATTAAGGATCTAGAAAGAAAATTACAAGATTTTCTAGGAAACTGCTCAAATGCAGCATAAAACAAAGATGCCAACATTTGAAACAAAGCTCTTTTCCACTAAAGAGACTTTTCTGGTTTAATCAGAAGCCTTTCTTTTTGCCTGAGGAGGAAATTCCTTGTAAACTATTATGTTTAATTTCTATTCTCTGAAGGAGAAGCGTTATAAACCTGCAACATTGTGACTGTATTTTAACAAGGCATATGGCCTTTAGATTCCTTGTGATGGACAAACAGAAAATTAATTCTGTTATGGGACTGCCTGGGACCGTGGACTGATGAAGCCATACACAGAAAAGGCCCTGAACAAAATGGTTAAGGAAAGGGGTCACAGTCAGAACTTCAGGTTTGTGATAAATCAATATATTGTATTAAAGTAGCCCGTAGATGACTGATAAATCATGAAATCCTTCATCACGATAAAAAATCATTGATCGGTACTTCAGAGAAAAAAGGACAGGAGCCCTCATTTGTTTTCTACATCACAACCTGGCCTCTTTTCCAAGTAACGAGTCAGTAATTCGACTCTAGTCATTAGCTCAAAGCAAGAAATGCAAAGATGCACGATGTAATTGCCAGGTGACTACAGGACCCTTCTCCGATTTGCATACTCGCAAGCACAGCTGCAATTTTTACAACTGAAATTTTGAAAAACCTGCGACGGACTCTTTATTTTCAATGCCTGTCGATTGAAAACACGATTTTAAGAAACGGGAAAATCTATCAATAGTCCATAGATACAGCTCATTCCTCACGCACCTTCCCGAAATGAGCACTGTGTGGGCACACCAAGGCACACAGTTGGCAACCAGGAATCTCGGATGCTCGTTCTTTGTACCTCTGCATGTGCTTATAAAAATGAAAGGCAGGATTTTTTCAACATTAAACTGGATGGCTACTTTAACCAAAACATACATCTTTCGAAAGGGCACGTTTTCTTCATTCCATTTCATTTTCTTTCGTCTTCGTGTGGGTTAATTTGTGGAGATATGGAAATGCAACTGTTACTTGTGTCTGAAACAGCATATCTGATATGGCAGATTGCAAGAATCATAGAATCATAGAATCATAGAATGGTTAGGGCTGGAAGGGACCTTCAAAGGCCATCTAGTCCAACCCCCCTGCAAGGAACAGGGATATCTCCAACTAGATCAGGTTGCTCAGGGCCTTGTCCAACCTGGCCTTGAACGTCTCCAGGGATGGAGCATCCACCACCTCTCTGGGCAACCTGTTCCAGTGTTCTACAACTCTCATGGTAAAAAATTTTTTCCTAATATCCAATCTGAATCTACCTCCCTCTATTTTAAAACCGTTACCCCTTGTCCTATCACAACAGGCCCTCCTGAACAGCCTCTCCCCATCTTTCTTGTAGGCCCATTGAGGTACTGGAAGACCGCTAGAAGGTCACCCCGGAGCCTCCTCTTCTCACGGCTGAACAGCCCCAACACTTTCAGCCTGTCCTCATAGGAAAGGTGCTCCAGCCCTTTTATCATCTTCATGGCCCTCCTCTGGACCCTTTCCAACTGGTCCATGTCCTTCTCATGTTGGGGGCTCCCACAAGCCCAATTTTGCTGTTTATTTAGGCCAATTCACCGAGCTCTCTTTGCATCCACGTTCTTACTTTTTACTTAAGTAGTGAAACCCCTTAGAACAGTATCTTTGTTGCATGATTGGGCTTTTACAATCCAAGATTTCTCTCCTGAGCTAAGAGAAATGGAAAATCCTGTTGCATCTTTGAGGTTTTCCTTAGAGATCCACAACTTTATCTCTATCTGGGAAGGTATTTTAAGAGCAGTGCTAGCATCCTGATTTTAGTTTGATTAATGCCTGTACACAGATGGTACCTGTGAAAGGTGATAAATAATTTAAAGATAGCATCTTGAAAATACGACTAATATGTGCTGTGTATAATATAAAAATACATAAACCACAAAAGATTAGTCAAAAGAGATGGATCACACTTGAAGCCCAAATTTTCAATGCTGAAATTATATCCTTTAAAAGACATAAGCATTCTTCTGTTCTCCAAACTTCAAAATTTAAGGATTCAATCAGACATACACAATAGGTGCATTTAAAACTCTCAAATAGAATTTCTCCTTCTGTATAGTGATACATGTGACATTAGGGTTATTGCAAATTCCACGTTCCTTGACAGAAGATTATGCCATGGAGAAACCCAGAACACAAACAGTATTTACTTTAATGTCTTTTATTAATTGTTTTTCTATTTTATTAGAATATATTTTTCTTTAATAGATAGCTAGTCATACAATGCTTACATTTACCTCCTTATACAGTTCCCTCTCTCCCTCTCACACAGAACAATTTTATGGTGTAGTAATGTTATTTTTTTGCAAGGTCTTGTGCTAGAACAGTAAGCATGAAGGGATGCTCAGATCTTTTTTGTAATCTTCCTTCCCAGTCCTTTGACTTCCTTTAAATGCATTTTCTTTCCTACAGTACCAGATATAATTGTGGGTTTTTTCCCTATTTCTCCTGCACGAGTAAGATGCACTCACACACTCTTGATGTAATAACAAAAGGAATACAGAATTAAAGTGTTAGCAATAATCAATCACTAGCACTGGAGGAAGAACATATGCAAACACTGTGAGCAGCAGTAGAAACCTGATTATTGACTGATTTGCATCCCTGGGATCACCGTCTGAAATAATTTTATTCAGCTAGAACTGAGTTATTTTCATTCTCACTCTTTCTGAATTTTTCATTGATACCTAGGGGAAAAAAAAAATCCTGAAGAATAGATGTATATTCATGCTCTAGTAAAATTCCAGCTGGAACCCCAGCCTTTGGAGTTTATCTGTGAAAGGGCTTCCTCCAGTTTCTGAAATTCCCTTCAAAATTGCTTCTGCAGAGTAACTTCCTGTTTTCCCTAACACATCCTGAATGTTTACTTCAAATTAGTAAGTACAAATCTGTTAAGGATATCTGGCTAAGGGCTATACAAATACCCAGAAAACAATGAATCAGAAGAGCAGCACAAACCAAGAACTCGACCAGCAGACCCCTCTGAATCAACTACTCCTAAACCCATTGACGATGACTGGTTTAGTCATTGCCCCTGTTGTAAAACACTCTGGTGATTCGATTCTCTCCAGAAGGCAGGAGAAATGAAGGCAGACTACTGCATAAAAAAACGTACAGAAGTTAAAAC